AAAAAAAAAAAGAAATTGATAGTAAATTCTGCTAAGTTCCAGGGAGTTATTTGGGATGTAAATTAGGATAATTGTACCACTTACATGTACACTTCAAACCCTAAGTGAAAAAAAAAATAGAAAACTGTAATTTCCAATAATCTATAAGCAGATTCTCAAATTTCCAGGATGATCTTCAGTTTTTGCTTCTGAAGATCCAGCAGGTCTTCATTTCTTTCCACCCACTGCCCCTTGCCACAGGTAAAGCTGAGCTAGGAAGGGCCTGATTCAGGGCCTTCTCAGGTACATCTGACTTGTCTCAAAGCTTTAAATACCTATCATATATGCAAACACATCCCAAATTTGTTATTTCCAGTCTTAACATTTTCTCTAAGCGGATCTGCTATTTATGACTGCCAATTTGTTGTACCTACCTGGATATATAACAGTATCTAAAAATTAATATACAATCTATCCAGAGCTGTTGGTTTTCCCTCCAAACCTGTTCTACCCAGGTCAACTCCATCTTAGGAGCTGGTATCATCCCACCATCCCTACCTTTCAAACAAAAAAAAACCTACGATGGGGCCGGCCAGGTGGCATAGTGGTTAAGTTCACACACTCCGCTTCGGTGGCACGGGGTTTGTGGGTTCAGATTCCGGGTGTGGACGTAAGCACCGCTCATCAAGCCATGCTGTGGCAGGCGTCCCACATATTAAATAAAGGAAGATGGGCACAGATGTTAGCCCAGGGCCAATCTTCCTCAGCAAAAAGAGGAGCACTGGCAACAGATGTTAGCTCAGGGCCAATCTTCCTCAAAAAAAAAAAAAAAAACACCTCCAAGCCTTCTTGATGCCTCACTTTCCCTCACCTCAGGCACACTCCCATCCCCAATCAATCACAAAGCTCTATCAGTTCCCCGCCAAATATATCCAGAATTTGTCCATTCTCACTATGTCCACTGCTACTATCCTACTCCAAGCCAGCATCAGTTCTCACCCCCTAACTTGTCTTCCTGCTTCTACCCTTGCCCCTCTCCAAGCCATTCTCCACTCAGAAGCCAGAATAATCTTTTTCAAAAAAGGAAATAGAGATATCACTCCCCTACCCAAAATCCTCCAATGGTCTCCATTCATGACAACAAGCAAAAATAGAAAGATCACAGAGCTGGGAGTTCTAGCTCTGGCTCTGCTACTAACTATAAATTTCAGCAGATTTAAGTGACTTCACCCTCCTAGGCCTTACTTGCAAAATGAAAGGGCTGTATGTTTAGCTTTAAAATTCTAATTGTCTAACTCCAGTATACAATTTGATATACCCACCTTGGCTTATTCCAATTCTCCCTTTCAATAGAACGCCTATTTCATGAAGTGTGTATCTGAGCACCCCACTTGTCCCCCGGGGTCCATGCTCATGAACACGCACAGAGATGCCATGGTTTCTCACTCTCGTTTCTGATCTTGAGGCAGAAAAGCAGGATGTAAAGCAATCTTAACCTTCCATTTGGGCAGGTCCATCTCTGGACAACTCTGTGGCTGGAAAGTACCCATATGAGATCACCAAGTCCTGGCTGCAGCCTCAGATGGATCAGGTCAAGCTGCTATACATCTCCCAGTTGACACAGTACTAAAACTGACCCGCCCAGACAAAACAGCGTGCAGATTTTTGTGGTTCAGCCCTCTACTCAGTCAGAATATTGAGGTTTTGATAAATTTTTTTCCTCTAGAATTTCAGAAAAGACTAAGTTTTAACTGTGAAAATGAACTTTTCCCAGAAAAGAATATCATTTTTTAGGAGAACCAACTAAAATATACAAACCAAGTATTTCCCACAAAGGGAAAGGACAGAAAGCAGTGCAAGGAAGCCACACTTAATGTGGCTTGAGGATGAAGGCACAGCAAACAGAGAAGATGACTTTCCCATTTTGGCTCTTTTTTTTTTTTTTT